CGCTGCCCCTCCTCCGTTCCATCTCTCTCTCTCTCTCTCTCTCTCTCTCAAAAATAAATTAATTAAAAAAAAACGAGAGATTTCCAAATCCTAAAAAGCTTACAAAGACATATGATAGTCATGTAGCTTTTATACAATGGATCACTGTTGCTGATGCTGAAATGCTGAGTTTTAATGAAACTTGTCAATTGCTATCAAATGAGCGAGACTGTGTGCAGAGATGCCACAGTCAGAATAATCACACTCTGTGACTCAATGTATCACTCGTTTGCCTGTCTGTGTGGGTTTTAAAACACAGCTGCAAATGTCTGAAGTGAAGCCCAGGGTGGACTGCTTCAAACAGAGTCACAGCAAAAGGGACGCTACGTGACTTCAAGGCTGGTTCCTACACGGCCACGCGGCTTCTTCTGCCTTACTCACTGGAACACTGAGTGCCACGTAAGAACTTTCAATCCTGGAGGCCAGCAGGCTGGAGAGGCCACCTGTAGGCTCGCCTCGCTGAGCCTGTGTCTCCACAGTTACCTCCGTCAGCGTCCCAGACACATGAATGAAGATCTCCAGTTCCAGATGTTACAGTCCTGGCTTTCAGCTCTTCTCTGCTGCAGCCCGGATGTCCCATAACAGGGAGAAGTCACCCTGCTGTGCTCTGTCTGAATCCCTGACCCACAGAATCCACGAGCAGAATCAAATGCTTATGTCATTATATTTGGGGCGGGTTAGTTTCTCAGCAATGGGTACTCAGAAAACAGATTAACAATTTCATTGGAAAAACATTAGCTTGAGGGTCAGTTTGGGGCAAGGGAATGCAAAGACCAGGAAAGACCTGGGGCTGTGCTTCAAAGAATTTACAACCTAGCATTAGATTCTAACTTGCTATCAGCTTGCAGAGACTACTTAACATCAACATTTTTCATTGAGAAATTAGAAGAAGGTAGGGCTGTTCAACATATATCTGTTCAAATGGGGTATAAAAATTATATTTTAGGGGCGTCTGGGTGGCTCAATAGGTTAAGCATCTGACTTCAGCTCAGGTCACCATCTCATGGTTTGAGAGTTTGAGCCCTGCGTAGGGCTCTGTGCTGCTGTCACAGAGCCTGCTTCAGATTCCCTGTCTCCCCCCTCTCTCTGCCTGTCCCCTGCTTGCATTCTCTCCCTCTCTCTCTCAAAATAAACAATAAAAAAAGTATATTTTAGGGGCACCTGGGTGGCTCAGTTGGTTAAGCGTCTGACTCTTGATCTTGGCTCAGGTCATGATCTCACGGTTCATGAGATCAATTCCCACATCAGGTTCTGTGCTGACAGTTTGGAGCCTGCTTAGGATTCTCTCTCTCTCCCTCTCTCTCTGCCCCTACCTAGCTGGCTCTCTCTCTCTCTCTTTCAAAAAATAAAGTTTAAGGGGCACCTGGGTGGCTCAGTTGGTTAAGCATCCGACGGGCTCAGGTCATGATCTCGTGGTCTGTGAGTTTGAGCCCCACACATCGTGCTCTGTGCTGACAGCTCAGAGCCTGGAGCCTGTTTCAGATTCTGTGTCTCCCTCTCTCTGACCCTCTCCCGTTCATGCTCTGTCTCTCTCTGTCTCAAAAATAAACGTTAAAAAAATAAAAAAAATTTAAGAAAATAAAGTTAAAAAAATTATATTTTATACTTTATCTTTTTATTTTTGATAATCAGTAGTCACTCTTAGCTGTTTATGTCAAGCAAATCATTCACCTTTTCCAGTGTATCGTTCACTACACAGGCCTAAGATGCTTTGGAAATGATTAAATGTGTAGCTCAAATATTAACAAGCTTACTTGGAAAATGGAACTTTCAACCGGACGTAACTGCTTAGCCTTTATCAGCTCACAAACGAAAGGACAATTTGCAATTCCCATAAACTGCTTGATCCAAAATACTAATGATACTTCGACTACATACCAAATTCTTGTGGGCATTTTAGTTAAGTGAATGTTCCTAAAAATTTGTGCAATGTCTACCTCATTGCTCTCAAAATAATTAGTATCGAACTGAGACTTTGTTCAGTTCTTCTAACATCCTATCACTGATGTCCACAAGAGCCTCAAGACAAACCTATTACCCTAAAAACAGTAATCCAACTGAGAGAAATACGATAAGCCTGAAATATTCCTCAACCTCAGCTGTAAGCACACCCAACCCAGAATCCCATATTCAAAAGTTTGGCGTCGATTTGCACAGGGTCTCTGCTGTTGTGCTCCGATTCTACCCCTGCTGGGGGCGGAGGACACACAGAACCCTAAGGCCACCTGCACCTTCGAAAGTCTCTGTATCCACCCCCGCCCCCCCCACCCCACGTTTTCTTGCCTCTTCCTAGACAATACAGCTTCGATGAGAACAATTTTTCTGTAAATCTTCATGTTTCGGACATTTTAGTAACATCTAGTTCTTTCTTTTTAAAAGACTTTTAATTGTATTTATTGTTCAAATTTACGTCCCAGTTAGTCAGCACATGGTGCAACAATGATTTCAGTAGATTCCTTAGTGCCCCTTACCTGTTTAGCCCATCCCCCATCCCACAATCCCTCCGGCAACCCTCAGGTTGTTCTCCGTATTTATGAGTCTCTTCTGTTTTGTCCCCCTGCCTGTTTTTATATTATTTTTGTTTCCCTTCCCATACATTCATCTGTTTTGTCTCTTAGAGTCCTCATATGAGTGAAGTCATATGATTTTTGTCTTTCTCTGACTAATTTCACTTAGCATAATACCCTCCAGTTCCATCCACATAGTTGCAAATGGCAAGATTTCATTCTTTTTGATTACCAACTAATACTCCATTGTATATATATACCACATCTTCTTTATACATTCATCCCTCGATGGACATCTGGGCTCTTTCCATACTTTGGCTATTGTCGATAGTGCTGCTATAAACATGGGGGTGCATGTGTCCCTTCGAAACAGCACACCTGTATCCCGTGGATAAATGCCTAGTAGTGCAATTGCTGGGTCAAAGGATAGTTCTATTGTTAGTTTTTTCAGAAACCTCCATACTGTTTTCCAGTATGTTTTCCATACTGTTTTCCCCTGGTGGCTCACCAGCTGGCATTCCCACCAACAGTGCAAAAGAGTTCCCCTTTTTCCACATCCTCACCAATATCTGCTGTTTCCTGAGTTGTTAATGTTAGCCATTCTGACAGGTGTGAGGTGGAATCTCATGGTGGTTTTGATTTGAATTTCCTGGATGATGAGTGATGTTGAGCATTTTTTCATGTGTTGACTGGCCATCTCGATGTCTTCTTTGGCAAAGTGTCTATTCATGTCTTTTGCCCATTTCTTCACTGGATTATTTGTTTTTTGGGGTTGTTGAGTTTGGTAAGTTCTCTATAGGTTTTGGATACCAACCCTTTATCTGATATGTCGTTTGCAAATATCTTCTCCCATTCCATCGGTTGCCTTTTAGTTTTGCTGACTGTTTCCTTCGCTGTGCAGAAGCTTTCTATTTTGATGGGGTCCCAATAGCATTTTGTTCTTTCTCATATATCTTAACTATTTCTAATGAGTGCCCTCATTTTACGACACCGATGTGTACGAGCAGAATGACCACATATACTCATGTCTACAGGAGGCTTTTAATACCATGTGGTGGTAGAGAAGCTGGTCTAACCTGTGGTAAAGTCAGCATGGTGTATTGGAGCGGGAAAGAAGAATATTAGAAGGTTAGGCTAACTTACCATACCATTAACTAGCTCTAAATCTTTGGGACTCGGTTTCCTGATTTATAAAGTGAGGGGATTAGATTAGATAATCTCCAGTCCTGATTTTAGGTGGGAGTATAAAGATGAGCTGTTCCATACCAGACTTGCACGATTATTTGTAAACCTCTCAGGTGTGGTACTGTGAAGTTTTCCACGGCAATCACAGCTCTATACTTTCCAAGCGGCTTAACTCTGAAACCTATAAATCAGTACATTTATTTCTGTCACAGTATGTGATTCTACATACGTAAGACAAAAGAGATGTATTTTAACCCTTCCTAAGGGTATAAGTAATTTTATTTTTTTGATTTGTTTTTAATGTTTATTTATTATTTTTGAGAGGGTGGGAGAGAGAGAGAGAGAGAGACAGGCAGGCAGACAGCGTGAGCAGAGGAGGGGCAGAAAGAGAGGGAGACACAGAATCCAAAGCGTGGCTCTGAGCTGTCATCATAGAGCCCGACGCAGGGCTTGGACTCACGAACCGTGAGATCATGACCTGAGCCAAAATCAAGAGTTGGACGCTCAACCGACCGAGCCACCCAGGCGCCCCAGGGTATACAAATAATTTTAAAGATCAAGTCTTTTATCAAAGCCAAATTCTAAAACCCACTAAATAATCAGCAAACTACTTAACCTTTTCAAAAGCTTTATTAGAACAAAAATCCCCACTAAATGGTTTAAAGTTTCTAACCCCTAGTTCTTATTCAATCTAGTTCTTGAATACAGATCTTTAGAAGACGTGGGCAAATAAAATCTCGTACACTCATTTCCATGTTGCAACAAAATTACCATTTGTACTGTCTGCATCATATCTCAGGGAGTTGATGGAGTTGATGCACTATGATAGTTTTGACCCTTCCCTACTGTAATTAGTCTCTGATGCATTGAGCTCTGCACAGTGTTGCAGTGAGCACAGCTTCATATACAATTTTTTCCTTCTTCTGAGTTATTTTCTTAGGATAATAAGCTCCCTTCACGGTTTTTGAAACAAACTGCCAAACCGCCTCGGGAAAAGTCTGTCACTGTATCTTGCTACCCATGTGAACGTAACAGCCTCACATTATACCAGCAAAACGTTAGCAGGCGCTTCCTCCCTCTAGTTTTTGTATCCACGTCTCTGATAAACCAGCATATGAAATGCCATCCCACACCACCTACGTATTGCCTCTCTTGACTTGTCCCTGTACTTCCCGATGCCGTGGTGCTCTTCATGACGTTTCTCTTTGTTGGAGCAACCTGGGGCCAAAACCTAGACTTCCTTCTCTTTCCTTCGCGGCTTTCGCTTACCTGTTTTTAAGGTGTGCCTCCAGATCACAGCGCTGCATCACATCTTGGCACGCTGAAGAAAACGGACACAGCACTAGCAACTTGTCCAGAAGCTTGTGAACCAGAATACTAGACTTCTTACACGACTTGAAGTGCAGCCGTTTCCGGTCCAGCGGACAGAAATCCTTCTCCTGTAAGAAGTTTCGGAGGCACTTGCAGCAGAACGTGTGTCCACAGGGGGTGTCCAGTGGCTGCAGCAGAGGCTGGAGGCAGATATGGCAGACGAGGTCGTCGTCCACCTCGTTCTGGTAATTGTACAGGTGGTTCTCTCGTGTCCAGTGCTGTTGGCCGCATTCGAAACACAGAGGGTTGAAGGAGGACGAAGAGGTCTGCTCCACGGACACCAGCTCCTCACTTGTCGTTCCCATTGTGAGTCAACCAAAGCGGTCTCTGTATCTTCGTACGTTCGACTTCCGCGTCAGGTGTATCTGGCTCAAACCAGGGTTTTTCTGGACAGACAGAACAAATCAAAAAAGTAATTACTATCGATCAAGTCAGGCTAAAAAGTGTCAATGCTGGTTGACATCTTCCGTAAAGAAGTAAAGTAAAATAAAACAAAACAAAAATAATCAGATCGGGTGATAAATTAGCCATGAAAGCCCAACAAGTAAATTAACGAATTTGCCAGCTGGCGAAGAGTGACCTGCGTTGCCCAGTTCTCGGTGAAAACAGAACTTGTGATCAAAAGCAAAGATGCCACCTACGGTGACACATAAGAAAAACTCCATTTGTTTTACGGACTGAAATCCTCCAGTACTTCACTGCTCAATGGTAGTTTTTAAAGCCAATTAATCTACGCGGCATGATAATAATGCAAACCAAGGTATACCGCGCAATACATCTGCATCCGTCGTCTCAGCCAAGGTTCTTTGCTTCTGGTTTTATGCACTTGCAAGGCAATACCAAAGGCTGTCTTTGCAACGTAGTCTCAAAGATAATTCGGTGCCTGTTTAAAAAACGACCTTTGCCCTGCACTGTTTCGAAAATACGGATTTCAAAATATGTACGATTTGAATATTCTCTCTCTCTAGCACAGTTTATAGAAATATACGACCGCACGGCATACATAAACAGCATCTGTGCAAACTCCATAAAGTGCAATACTCTTTTATGCCATTAGAGGAAGAGGCCCACCGTAATTCAATTAGATAACATGTGTTATAAATTACGATTCCACCTCCTATTATTCCACACTTGGATTTCTTCTTGCTTACTCAAAGCAGCAGTGTGTGTGTGTGTGTGTGTGTGTGTGTGTGTGTGTTTCTCTCCTCTCCAGCCTTAAGACTCTCATGACGGCCTCGCCCGTTTAGTGCGAGGCTAGTAAGGAATGCTCCCCTCCTCCTCCCCAGCAGCACCCGGGGGTTAAAAATCAACCCCAAAGGCAGCAGCTGTCTATATTCATCTTCTGTAAATATTTACAGCCTCCAGTATGTGCCAAACAGTGACCAAGGAGACAGGAGAGGTAGAGAGAGGACAGTTAAGAAAACTCATTATTAAAATTCAGTATACTCTAAGAAAGCATCATAAGCATGCTAAGAATGCTGTTACGTGAATACGGAGAGAGATGAATTAGGTGGCATCTAACTCAAGTTTGGCTTTAGAGCCGGAAATACTTTCCAAAGGGGGAGAACGTGTGCTATGAGTCGGGACGGGGCATGTCAGCCAGCCAGAGCCGGGCAAGAGCCTCTCTGCAGTCTCAGGGGCTTCTGAGCACAAGACACGCTTGAGGAGTACACGGCAGATCACGATACCCGAGGCCCGACACACTCGGGGCGGGGGAATCACAAAGCTCGGGTCTCCCCGCCCGAAGAACGGAGAGGGTAGGACACCACGTTAATGCTCCCGACATTTGTTTCAAAGACGAAATTCTCCTCCCATCACACTTAGGCACTTACTGTTTTATTTATTTGGGGTATTTACTAGAGAGACAACATTAACATTTCAACCAAGGTGACAAGAACGGCCATAAATGATGAACGGATGGGACAGGATTCAGAGGGGAGGACTGATCTGCGATCAACTGTTTGTTTTGAAAAATTACTTGATAAAGTAATGACAGCAGCAGCCTGTGACCTAACCTCGTATCAGCACCAACATGAAGAGAGCAAGTGCTTCTTGTAACTCACGAGGCTGGTTCTTTACCCGCTGGGCATCATAACTTGTTAAACGTCAGTGCAGGTCTGTGAGATTAAGGGGAGAAACATCATTTATCCCAGGCAGACAGACCGGGTATCCTACTACAGAATGTACCCAGACTCTTACTCCTGACCCAATTAGCAAGAAAATTCACATATCCTTGGCTCTTCTTTCTTTGTGATAATGTTTATTCTAATTTTTCTCTTCCTCTGGAAAATATACTGCAATTCTAGCCTCCCACATAATGACTAAGACAGCATCTCTCTTCAGACTATTATGTTTTAGCTATTTTCTGAGTCTCTAAATGACTTTTAGTTCTTTGATTATTTATCACACAATCTTTTCATGTGGAAAAATAACATGTTCCCATTTGAAACACCAAATAACAGCATTATCTCCACCCCCGAAATACCTCTGCTACCATGAAACAAATATTAAGTGAAAAATTATCATGTGTAGATCACTAACATGTGGTCAGCATAGAAATACTGACTAAAGAACTGTGAGGCTGTATAGCACAAGCAGTTAAGAGCACATACTCAAGCCGGTCCGTGAGGGTTCAAATCTTCACTCTTGTCACTTACTAGCTTTGTGACCTTCCCAAATGTCTCTGTGTCGGCTTCCTTCTCAGATGTAAAATGGGGGTAATAATAGTGCCTATTTCAAAGGGCTGATAGAATAAATAAGTGTGTGTGTGTGTGTGTGTGTACAACAGAGCCTGGCACATAATAGGTGCTATATAAGTATTAGCTATTATTACTATCATTAAAGAAACAAAAGTTCAGACAGATTTTATGATTTGCAAAAAGCCAAACAACTTATAATTACTTGGTAAGAGATAAGAGAGATAAATCTAGTTCTTTCTCGCTTCAAAATAACCCAAAAGTAAATTAAGTAATTATAAGAAAGAAGAGAGGCATTTCATGAAAGCCTTAGTGTATGAATTTTGTTAAGGACAAAGGCAGCCTGATCCTGTCTTTCCAACCCCTAATCCCACCCCTCTACTCCCAAGCCGGGCAGATGACTTCATTCCTTCTTTGTGTGCAAATCCACTCCAACACCTTATGTACCACTTCTCACACTAACCTACGAGGTCCTTAAGAGCTGGACCTCCCACGGAGGGGCTCAGTAAATGCTCAAAGACCACACAAGTGACAATTTGCTTGAGCACTCTTGCTACATCTAGGTGGCCAGAAGCACATCTATGTTTACAGGAGGATATGTCTGTGTTTACATATAATTTTGATTTCAGATATTCTGTGAGCACAATCTGAAATATTAAAATATGTTACATAAATAATAGTCTTAAATACCTTTCATAATACAAAGATAAAATGTAGTACAATGTGTATCTTTACAAAACTACGTCATCTGTTTAGCTAATATTCCAGGAAGAGTAAAGAGACAGAGGCTATTAAATCGGCTGGGAATATTACAACGCATTTTAAATAATATCTTGAAAAGCAGGCAGTACAATGGAAAGGGAGTGAGAAGGCAGTATTTTCTACCTGACTCCAGTTACAAGTAACAGGCTTGCTCTTCCTGCTGAGACAAGTATATCCTGGTGCATCACAGATACTCTCAGAAGAGCTATGCTTTTTCTTAGTCAATTTGCAAACTCCAAAACTGTGTATTATTCAGATTTCTCTTGAGGTTATTTTTAACTCAGACTGAAGGAATCCTCGGGGTCCCTAACCTAGGAGATCCAGCCCAGGGAAAAAGACAATGAGCTAAGGATTACCAGCACAGTATGGTTGGATGGGAAACTCCTATGGCTCCTTTGACTCATCAACGCCGAGAGGCTCAGACTCTCCTTACGTGTCCTTCGGGCAAACTCCTACTTAGACGCTACTTGCTCTGTCGAATCCCTTCAGCCTCCTTCCTGGTCTCGGGGACATCTCCCTCCCCTTACGACCTTGCTGCTCTTTACATATACCTTCATTTCAGCAATTACAACATTTGCCTTCTTATCTGTCTTCTCAGCTCTCTGAGGGTAAAGATAGTATCTTCTTTATCTCTTGTATTCCCCGTTCTTGGCACATATTATGCACTAAAAAAAAATTTGTTCTCAGGCTCATGCTTGAGCCTGAAATGTTCAAGAGTCCTAAAATGTATAATATCTCTATATAAGTATATAGGAGAAAACCTTGCACGTTTTTTATTCACGGCACTGCAAAGCAGTCAACATGCTGGACCCTGCTCTCTGACTACAGAGAATGAGACATTACTTCCTTTAGCCTTTAAAAGTCTGAGAATTTTAAAAAGTTATTTTCTTACCTGATGCTATCAACACAAGAAACTTTTCTTTTTTAAAATTTTTTAAATGTTTATTTATTTTTGAGAGAGAAAGAGCAGGGGAGGGGCAGAGAGAGACGGAGACATAGAAGCCGAAGCAGGCTGGCAGCACAGAGCCCGATGCGGGGCTCGAACTCATGAACTGTGAGATCGTGACCTGAGCCGAAGCTGGACGCTCAGCAGACTGAGCCACCCAGGCGCCCCTGAAACTTTTCTTACTGTGTATGTTACGGACTAGTTTTGACAACCGCCTTCGTACAAGGCAGTGGATGTCAAACTTTTACACCTAAGAAACCCTTTACCCACTCTGGACAAGTCTGGCGGTTTCTTAAAGAACTAACGTGAGGCTACTGTTCAGCTTATTCCAGAGCAATGAAAACTTATATTCACTCGTTAGCCTGTGCATCTTTATTTGCAATGGCCCCCAACTAGAAACAACCCAGGCATCCTTCACCGGGTGGGTGGGTAAACAACCATGGTACATCTGTCCTACAGAACAGTTCTCAGCAATAAAAAAGAATGAATTATGATTGCTACACACAACCTGGAATTATCTCCAAAGAATGATGCGGAGTGAAAAAAGCCAGACCCAAAAGGCTGCGGACATTATTCCACTTAGATAATATTCTTGAAATGACAACGCAATTGACTAAAATCTTGAAATACTCATTTGTTAATAAAACAACAAACCTGTTACATGCCAAGATTCTTATGAAAAATAACATTTCTTTTTCCAAAACAAAAAATACAGTGAGAAGAGAGGCAGTTGTTTTTCATCTCTGCAAACCTGGAGTCTCAAATCTGTTTCTGTTTTCAATCTGTTGTGAGATCACATGCATCCTCTGGAAACTCCATTAGACACTCATCAGAGAATGATGGTGGAAAAGGCAGATAATGTTTTTGCATGATTGGGGAAACAGTTTTGACCTCGTGGGCT